TGCTTCTTTTATGTGTTACACGTTCTCATTTTCTGAAATATTTTAAAATGCAACTCAATGAGAAATTTTTTAAAATGTAGAATTGTATTTATTTCCTACCCACTTGTATGACTTATTACAGTGAGTAGAAGTAACTATCTTGTTGATTTAAGTCAAATTTGGAAATAATCTCATGATTCTAGGAATCAGGGAAGATACGACCATTATCCATATATTCACCACCTAATTTTCTGGTCTTGATAAAAGGATTTGACATGAAGACATTTCTTCCTTTGAACCTTCTTACTCCATCCCAAATTATGTTTCCCCTTTTTATTTTTTTTTTAATTCATGGAATGCAGGCATTGCAGGCTAACCCAGCATTTATTTCCCATCCTCAACTACCTTGGAAAAGGTGGTACTGAGCTGCTTTCTTGAACCTCTGCAGACCTTAGGATGTAGGAACATCCACAGTGTTGTTAGCAAAGGAGTTCCAGCCTTTGACCTAGCAATAGTGAAGGAACAGTGATATAGCCCAAGTCAGGATAATGTGTGGCTTGCAAAGCATCTGGTTTCTGCTGGACACCTCCAAATGAGGATGACATTGAGAACAGAATACTAGAGGCTGAATCTTATGTTTATTTTGGCTAAATCTGAGTTGGGCCAAGATTTTTGGAGGGATTTCTGCCATGAGGCCCAGCAAGTTTTCTTGCCATTTCTTACAAACACACCACATAACTACCTACCCTATTTAGATGGTGTCCCTCTGATCCAATTCAGGCTGAATTGTACCACGCATCATTCCCAGAGTAATTGCCACTCAGCAGATAGCTGGGTGATATGCCAAGCCATTGTTGCAAGGGGGCTGTGTACCTGGATAAATGATGGCAATCTGGCATTTACCCTCACTGGCAATGTTCTTTCACAACAGCCACAAAGACACCATGTACATAGTGGACATGGCTGACAGTTCCTCATGCATGCAACTCCATTGTCTCACCCCTGTCACTGTTTAACCAGCACCGCGTACACTTTGCTAGAGTGTAACTACAACCCATCTAAACACCCTCTATGTCAGCATTACCCTGTTCCCAATGCCAACTGTAGACTCACATTCTCATTGTCCAGTAAGGGAAGATCATGTTCAGGTAAGCGATCAAGACAAATGAAAACGTAAATGTCAGCTTTAAAATGTAGAATTGTATTTATTTCCTACCCACTTGTATGATTTATTGCAGTGAGTAGAAGTAACTATCTTGTTGATTTAAGTCAAATTTGGAAATAATCTCATGCTGTCAGCTAGACAGCAAAACCGAACTGCAAACAAAACCAACAGAGGCTGAGGGAGCCGCTTCCAGTTGATGAATTCTACAGTATTGTGATACAACCGTCTCAGTACAATGGTGTGTAGCCAATGATATCCTGTACCTGGGGGAAAACAGCTATATTCCTGAATCCTACTGCCCAGGCCATGGGAAAGCAAAATGACCCAGTGTGACCTTGTACTGATGGCATCATCACTATTCTGATGCATATATGTGGGTTGAACGAGAAGCAGGTCCCCTTTCACTCACATAGACATTCAAAGCGGCTCAGCCTCACAGCCACCAGAACAGGAGAGCCATTCACTCCTGCAGCTCTCAGGTGCAGCTCCATCAAACTGTATAACAGTTTCTGGGACATACAGACCGTGCACCACCACCACGCATCACTCATCCTGAGCACAGGGAGTCGGGGCCTCCTGCACACCCCTCACACGCTGCGGTGCCCTCTGCCTGAACTGGGTACTCCTTGTCCTCCACGGTGGCAATGCTGCTGCTCTTGTTAGTCTTGGCCTCTGTCTGAAGTGCTAACAGGCAAGGCATGGCACGGCAACGCGATGCAATGCACGGCACGGATGGTGCGAGTATACAGGTACGTGCTAAATGAGTGAGCGCTAAGAGAGCAAGTGACCAGCTCTGAGACGAAGCCTTGTCCAATCTGTGAGCTTGGCGCTTGACTGTACGCACAAAATGTCCCTGCTGTAGACTTTCACTGCTCATTGCCATGTGACCTGCAATGCCGTGCTTCCTAAGCAGCCGATCAGTATAATTGAGACGTGCCTGGATGGTTGTTAGCTGTTGACAAATGCCAGATGCCAATGTACCTGTAGCTGGTGCCCATGGATCATGCTCTGAAATGCAGTTTGGTCATAAGCAGCATGGAGGTTCTATGGAGCAAGTGGTGAACCGACTCTGCCTGGTACCTGCTCTGGTTTCCGTGTCAAATTTTCCTGACATCGACCTTGCTCACCTTGCCGCTTGTCAAAAACTATAAAAGACAGAGCGAGATCCTCGCGATATCGAGATAGATTCCTTGACAGAATTCTTGCGCAATCCTGCCAAAAATCTCGGTAAGCCCACATCACTCAGACCCCTATAAGATTGCGCCCTTTTGTCTTTTTTGCACAGCATGTTGCTGATGACACCACATTGAGTAAAATTTGGCATCTGAGTCTCGTTAGCTAATCAGATTGAAGGACTGCGACATAGTATAAGGACAAAGAAAGAAGTGTAATTTAAAACTGACGATTGCAAAGTCAAATCAGGTTCAGAAAGAGAAATGGAGATTGGATTAAGAGAGAAAAATGCAATAAGGAAAAGAACAAAAGTTCATAAAATCTGCAGCAACAATTAAAATCTTTAGGAATGAGGCTCCAAATCTGTAACAGTTAATTTTTAACATTAGAGAAGCTAATTGACAGTGATTTTCACTTTTCAGTTCATTCAACAAATGTTCATATCTGATGAAAAATGCTTAACTTTCTGTGGTGAGTTTAGTTTCTATCTACTATGTTAAAAAAAGGCAACTTCATGTCACTCACTGTGTTTCAATCATGAAGCAGGTGAGATGTCATTTTTGCAAAGGTAACAAGTAGGACAACGCAGCTGGAACAGCAACTTTTAGATGTTTGAGCTTATCCTATATCTGCCCCTTGGCTGAGTTTGCTATATCCTTTGATACCACCACGTATCCTTTAATTTTCTAAACCTGTATAAAAAATTTACATTTACTTGAAGTAGATTTTATGTATATGGACTCTTAGTGCAGAGCCTGGAGCCTTGTGGAGTGTGCATTCAGAATTCTGATTCAGAGATCACTGGGCTCTGACTGATCTTTTATAATTGTGAGTTCTGAGGAAGGGTCACCGGACCGAAACATTAACGGTGTTTTCTCCTTCACAGATGCTGTTAGACCTGCTGAGTTTTTCCAGCAACTTTGTTTTTGTTTTATAAGTGTGAGTTCGTTAAGTGTATCATACAGTCCTTTTATTGAAATAGTGTTGTTAAAATAGAGTATCTTGCACACGGATGTGATTTATACACAGAATTTTATGGTAGTATTTTAAGTTTGAACATTAATCTTAAGCCTGCATCATGTTAAATGAATTGCTCAGCTAAGCTGTTCTATAAAGCTTGGAACAATCAAGTGATTATGCTTTCAGGCCATAAAGGGCTCTTCTTTAATTCATAAAGTTTATCTACTTTTATTGTCCAATTGCAGTCACATTCTGAGAGATAGAGAGAAAAACTCACCTAATTTTTAAAAAAATATACTTGTGCAGTTGGCTGCTCTTTTTGCTGACACTTTGGATTCCAACAGATATCTGAGATTTTTATTTTACACCTAACATTCCTGATGCATGAAATGCACCGTAACAACTTAAAATATCAGTCAGCAACATAGCAGTAATCCCGGATAGACTTGAAATTTAGTTTCTATGTTAGATGAGCATTGCATGTATTATAAAAATATTTTCAGTATCTGTCTGTGCCAGTACTTGTTTTGTTTGCTGTCCTTTCAGTACAGGACTCTGTAACAGAGACCATTAAATCCTCTGAAAGAAGAGGTGTAATTTTGAAACTGACGATGATATAGGACGATAGAAAAAGTGCAGAGCAGTGAGAATAGTTTTGAATTACACTGGCAGAGTCAGCAGATAGAATGGGCTAAATGGTCTCTTCATGTGTTATAGTTTTTAAAATATAAGTCGAACGTCTTTATGTTGAATTAAATTTACTGAAACTGAGTCACGTTGAAGCATATCCCAGCTATCAGAACCAAACTCCAGTTGTCCACGTCTGGTGCGAGAAATGTGCAACCTACTCCTACTATTCAGTTGAAGGTGTTATGCAATTTTAGTAGAGCAGCATAAGAATACTCTTGAAGTAGTTAAATCTGAATTGACACATTTTGATCACTATTTGTTCCTGGAATGTGATATGCATCAGTAGCATTGCCCATCCCTACCTGGGAGCTTTCAAAGTCAATAATACGGTCCATTGCTGGAGTCTTGTAAAAGTTAAAGGTCCCTTTTCTAAACAGTATAGGAGAGCTGGCTAGATTTGTACAATAATTTGGTGGGTTTTTTTGTGGTTACTTTGACTAGCGCCAAACCACATATTAGACGAATTCAGTTTCACAATTTATATAGATGTTTTGCATCATGTAGTTGTTGTATTTGAACGCACACCACTCAGGGCTGCTACGTCGTCACAATTCGGCTACTGTCCCCTTTCATAATTCCAATGAAATAAAATTGATATCTACAGCACACTTTAGGTTACTGGCTAAAATATTTTCTTCGACACTGTAACACGAGAATTTCAACTAACTTTCAGTTCTGGGAGGTCTTAGATTTCAAAATGTTAGCCCACTTTTCAGAGTTTAGAACTTATCTTTAAAAATGCAACAGTCCCGTGTGGCTAACTTTAAAATGATCAAACAGTCGACTGAAATTTCACCAGCAGCTGGAACGATGCTGCTGTCTGTGTGTTTAGTCATGAGAGCTCTATTTTCCCGGAGAGAACCTGGTGTGTAAAACAGTCAGCAAATCGCTGTTGCTTTTCAGTTGTTGTAAAGACAGTGACAACTCTGAGACTTGTCACCGTAGCCTGAGAAGGGAAGATTTCCTCTCGTCAGTTTACCGATAGAGAGTGCCAGGGTTCGCTTCTCTCCCAACCACTGTGGACAAGAAACAAAACTAAATATCTTTAAACCCTCAAGACCTTATTGCCGCACCCGGCTAGGTTTGTGATTATTTTGAACTCCGTACTGAATGAGGCACCTAGTCGGAATTTGAATCTCCTCTGCACGGGGCTCTGGTCACATCAGTAACTCCCCTCCCCAGGAGTTTGATCTAGGTTCGCCCTTACTCGGTTTCTGGTGGCACCTCGGGCTCCACAGAGTACGGTATGTGAAAGATTTCCCCTGCACTTGCAGACAAAGCTGTCTGCTCTCCCCTTTTTTTTCTCTCTGGGGGAGAGAGAGAGAGAGAGGTTGGGGGTGGGGGGAGAGAGAGGGGAAAAAAAATGGGCTGCTTGCTGAACAAGTTCAACAAGAGTGGAGCTCTGATCAGCTGCCAGCGAGGACACAAACCACCACCTCAGCGACCTTGTTGTGGAATCCGGAGGGCAGGATGCAGCAGTGAATCAGGTGTTTCAGGAGGAGTGCAGTCCTGATCCAGAGCCCCCCTCAACGAGCTGAACTTCTTCTTCTGGACTCTGAGTGGGGTGGGTGTGTGTTTTATTTGGGGTGGGGGTTGTCCCCTCTACACTACCCCCCCTCTCTCTGGTAGACTTTGATAGGGACCAGCCACTGTTCGTGGGTCTCCAGGGAGAGATTTCCCATCGACCGGGAAAGAGAGGGGGGGGGAGCAGTTTTTTTTGTATTATTTATTATTTTTGTTTCCTGAAAGCATGTCGGAGGAGGGCAGCTCCGAGTGCCCGGTGTGTTACGAGAAGGTTTCGCGCCAGAACCAGTCCCTCCGGACGCTGAGCTGCAACCACGTCTTCTGCCACGACTGCCTGGTCAAGACGGTCATCAACCAGGAGAGGCAGCCCAAGAAGGTGGTCTGCCCCGTCTGCCGGCACGTCACCTTCCTCAGCAAGAAGAGCGCGCGCTGGACCGCCGCGGCGAAAGACGCCAAGCAGACCCTGGAGATCCCCCTGGCGCCCACCGCCACCCGGGACCTCCGGCCGCTAGGGGCGCAGCTGGGGGCGCCGCCGCCTCCTCCTCCGCCGTCGCGCTCGCTACTCCGCCGCTGGGTGGGCAGTTGCCGCCGGACTTTGGCCGCCGCCCGGCACCCGGCGGCCGTGGGTACCAGTCAGGTTTTTGTGATCAGCGGCCGGGGGAGGCCCATGAGCGAGGAGGAGCTGAGGGTCCCCGCTGACGGACTGGTGTTGGAGCACAGGCGCTGCAGGTTGCGCTGGGTGCTGCTGCTGCTCTGTTTGATCATCATCGGCGCAGTGGTGGCTGCTATCCTGCCCTGGGTCATCTCCTTCAAATGACAGCACTGTTGGGCAGTGAAGCCCAGTCTGAACACAGCAGACTCCTGGGGGTGACAAGTACTTTAGTACTTTATATATATATACGTGGCGGAGAAAAGAAAGGGACTTTATTTGGAGCTGTGCTCACTTGCTGCATTTTTTTGTTTAACTTACCAGGAATGTACTTTGGCAACTCCTGAGAGGGACCAGCCGAATGGAGAAAATACCAATTGCACTTGTACAGAAATTCTTTTTTGCATTAAAATCATGATCAGTTTGTCAAGACAAATAACTAATGTTATTGGCAGGTTGTTAGCTATAAATATTTGGGAAAATTTTTTGCAACATTGTTATAAATTGTTGTACAGGGGGCCAGTGGCCTGGTAGATGAGTTGTACTAAGTAGATTTATCAAAATGTTATTTAACACTGGTAAATTAATCAAAACTGCATTCCTGGATTCTGTGCAATACTTGTTATTCTTATATATTACAATGTGTGTACACACAGAATACATCTTAAATATTACAAGCTAAGTTTAGTTAGAGCAACTCATTGGCTAGCCAATAGCATTCTCACAGTTGACTCCGGAAACAAGATTCAAGTAATATGTCAGGCCCTGTGCTCATTGTCTAAGCACCTAATCTTGTGGCATTACTGCAGGAATGTTACATATGCCAATGGTTGCTTTTTTTTGGGTGCAACCAAAGATCGTATCTGCCTGCTCCAGTCATTCAGATGTGAGGTATTCTTGAGGATATTTGAAGAGGAGTTGGGAGCTATAATACTTTCTTGGCTAACATTCTTCACTTGCTCAAAACCACCAAACATTCTCGATTTAGCCTTTCTGCTGTCTGTGGAACAGGATTGTTGTAGAGTGGGTTCTCCAGTTAGCTGCACTGTTATCTTCAATGTACTTCAAAATAATTAACTGTATGTGAGAATTTTTTGTAGTTTTGAGATGTTATGAGGTGTTTGATATATAAGTGCAAGTATTATACATTGTATAGACACTGGTAGGAAAATATTGTAGTAATGTATTGAGTATTGTGACATCCATCAGAAGGAACATTTTGATCAAAAAGATAATGATCTCAAAGATTTTATAAAATATCATCTTGGCATGTGGATAATGCATAAGGCCAGTATGTACTAGACATCCTTAGTTATTCTTGAGGAGATGTTTTTGAGCTATGTTCTGGTACTGCTGCATTTTGCACAGTGAAGGTGCTTCAATGACACTGTTCAGTAAGGACTTCCAGGGATTTGATACAATGACCATGAAGGAGTGGTAATATCCACCAGAATGGAATATGATTTGGAAAGTGACTTGGTTACAGTATCTTGATGCACCTGGTGCCTTTGTCCTTGTCAGTGGTTGAGGATATGAGCCTGACAGGTACTGTCAAAGAATTCTTAGCAAGTTGCAACAGTGCATCTGACATCGCTGCCACTGTGCACTAGTGGTCAAGAGCCTGGATTTTAGTTGGTAGGTGGGGTGCTGATCAAGTGGACTGCTTTGTCCTGGATAGTGTGGAACTTTTTGAATGTTGTTGTTGCTGCACTCGTGTGGGGTGGTGGGGAGGAGGCTTTCCATCATGCTCCTGACATGTATAGAGAGGCTTTAGAGAATCAGGAGCTGAGCCTCTCTCCGTAGAATACTCAGTTTCTGAATTGCTCCAAAAGACACTGATCTGATGTGGTTGATTCATTTCATGTTGTGGGCAGTAATGACCCCAAGAGGTTGATAGTCAGGGAATCAGCAATGGCAGTACCTTCAAATGTCAAGTGAAGGCAATTACACTCTCTTGTGGGCGATAACTATTGCCTGACATTTTGTGATAGGAATGTTACTTGTTGCTTATCAGCTGAAACCTGGATGTTGTCCAGTTCTTGCTGTACATGCACTTGGACAGCTTCTTTATGTAAGCAGTTGTGAATATAGCTGAACACCATGCAGTCATCAGTGTATTGCTTCAGTTCTGACCTTAGGTTAGAAGAAGGTCATTGATGAAGTAGCTGAAAATTGTCAGGCTTACAGCATTACACAGAGAAACTCCTATTGTGACTTCCTTGGGCTAGAATAATTAACTTGCAATAATCACAGCTTTCTTTTGTGCAAGACATAAATTCCCTCCACCCCTGGTTCCCACTGTCTTTAAGTTTAATTGAAAAATTCAATTTTCAGTCAGATACTGCCTTAATAACAAAGGTGATAGCCCTCAGAATTCATGTTCAGAACAAGGGTTTAATGAGAACTAGAGTTGTGAGCTTTTGCCAGAAGCCATCATGAGTATCATTGAGCAGTTATTCATAGATCATGAAATCCCTACAGTATGGAAATAGGCCCTTCGGCCCAACGAGTCCACACTGGCCCTCGGAGCATCCCACCCAGACCCATCCCCCTATAACCCACCTAATCTACACACCACTGAACACTATGGGCAATTTAGCACAGCCTATCCACCTAGCCTGCACATCTTTGGACTGTGGAAGGAAACCAGAGCACCCGGAGGAAACCAACACAGGCACATGGAGAACGTGTAAACTCCACACAGGCAGTCACCCACGGGTGGAATCGAACCCAGGTCCCTGGCACTGTGAGGCAGCAGTGCTAACCACTGAGCCACCATGCCGCTCATGTTGAGCAAGTACCACTTGACAATGTGGACAATAACTGGTTCCAGCACTTCGCTGATGAATGAGTGCAGACTGAAAGGATATTAATTGGCTGGGTTGAATTTTACCTGTTTATTCGGAACATGACTAAATGGGCTATTTTCCACATTGTTAGGTAGATGTTAGTTTTATAGCTGTACTGGAGCAGCTTAGCTAGAAACATGGCTAGGTCTGGAACACAAATCTTTAGCTTTGTACCTGGAATGTTGTCAGGCCAATAGTTTTTGTTGCGTCCTATAAACTTGAACATTACCTGATATTATGTGGGGTGAACAGGATTTGCTGAAGACTGTTATCTATGTTGGGTGTCACAAGAGGAGGCCAAGATGGATGATCTGTTTGCTTTTTCTGCCTGAGAGGAAATTTGTGAGTGATATTACACATGTAATGGACTCAGCCATCATTTGCTGATGAGGAGTATCATAGAAAATCCCTGAACAATTGGTTGTTTAATTGTTCGCCACCATGTGTTTCATGGAAGAGCTGATGCGATAGCACTGATTGTAAAGTATTTGTTTTTACTGAAATGTGATTATAATCTTGCAATATTTGATGACATGTGAAGAGTGATGATCTACCATCCAGGAGAATGATGTGTTCAGGTTGTCGAGTGAATAACTGATGGGTACTGTTAGCGAAGTGAAGAGTAGAATGAGATCTTGATCAGATGGGCTGAGAAGTGGCAGTTGGAGTTTAATTCAGATAAATGCAAGGTGTTGCATTTTGGTAAGGCAAATCAGGGTAAGACTTACACAGTTAATGATAGGGCCCTGGGGAGTATTGTTGAACAGAGGGACCTAGGGGTGCAGGTTCATAGTTCCTTAAAAGTGGTGTCGTAGGAAGACGGTGGTGAGGAAGGCTTTGGCATGCTTGCCTTCATTAGTCACACCATTGAGTATAGGAGTTGGGGTATTATGTTTCAGGTTTATAAGACATTGGTAAGGCCACTGTTAGAATGTTGCCGGGACTGGAGGGATTGAGTTATATGGAAAGGCTGGGAATTCCTTCCCTGGAGCATCGAAGACTGAGGGGTGACCTTATAGAGGCTTATAAAATTATGAGGGGCACAGATAAGGTGAATAGCCAAGGTCTTATTCCATAGGTAGGGAGTCCAAAACTCGAGGGCATAGGTTTAAGGTGAGAGGGGAGAGATTTAAAAGGAACCCGAGGGGCAAATTTTTCACAGAGAGGGTGGTACGTGTATGGAATGAGCTGCCAAAGGAGGTCGTAGAGGTGGGTACAATTACAACATTTAAAAGACATTTGGATATGTACACGTATAGGAAAGGTTTAGAGGGATATGGACCAAATGCAGGCAAATGGGACTGTTTCAGTTTAGGAAACATGGTCGGTGTGAATGAATTGGACAGAAGGGTCTGTTTCCATGCTCTATGATATGTTGTGCTTTATCAGGGATTTGTCTTCAATTTAAAAACTAGATTACAGTTTCTCTTTCCTACCAGACATACATCAGATGTGGGCAATCATTACTCAATTCTCAGAAGTCCTCCAAGCATAGAACTGAATAATTCACTTAACTGACAGATAATTTATTCATTTAATGACTGTGAATAATGTCACAATGATACAGTGGTTTCAATCCCCTATTCACGTCACAGGTACAAAGTATATTTTTAAGGAAAAGAAAGATTTGCACTTAGAAATATTCTTGAGATGGTTTGCCGGGTATTAGCAAATATATCACTGCCTGTGACACAATGCATAGATACAACACTTTGAGCCCAACTGTTAATAAGCTGACATTCAGCTCTCCTATAATCTTGTCGGAAACTTCTCTTGACATTGAACAAAATTCTGATCATTTTCTGAGAAGGCATAAGATTTACAAATATTTGTTTAGTTTAAAGTCATAATCTAGGCTTCAGAGCAACTCTTGCGTACATAAGACTCACAGATGTTGTTATCTGTTGTTGCCCAACCTGTCCTATAAATAGAACAGATACTGCAACAAGGAAACAGTTCTGGAATACAAACGATGTTTGAGTTAATATACAGAGGGCACCTATTCTGTATGTAATTCACCTGTACACGGTGATTTTAAAATGAAGGAGTTTGGAAATATGACAGATTAGTTGATCTAATAAACACATTCCTCTTTTAGTTGATTTAATCTAACCTCTCCACAGTGCTGTCTCTCCTTTCTGTCTGAATTAACAAGCAATTTGGGGAGAGAAATTTATGTTGCAGTATTGAAGTCATTGCAACACAAGTTCCACTTCACAAAAGTTGTGTATAGTACGAGTTGGCACTCAGACTATCTGTGGAACCCAGCACTGAGATTGCTTATAGAAGACAGTACTACACTACTTGGGCTTTTTACTGCAAGACTTATAACAATAGCACAGTGTCAGTCTTTTCTTTAAATCAGTCAGAGAGTCTCTTGAACTGAGCACACTCTAGAAGCTTATGTTGAGTTGATTTAAATGTTTAGGACATGGGAGAATTGTATGCTTGATCCCCAGATGCTAAAACTTTGATGGCTGGGATAGAAGTCTTGCAAGTGGGGGAAATCTCTCCTGATTGAAATTCCAATTGGAGATAAGAAATCTAAACCAGAAACTGTTTGGAATGGAACAATACCAGAGTAAAG